TCCGCAAAATCTAATCGTGAAATCCAGAATGCATCTTTGGTTTTATTACGTCCTTCAAAATACATAAAACAAGGGCAATGATGCAGCAAATCATTGTAAATTGTTGTGCTTTTCGAATGGCAAAAGTTTAATCACCTAATACAATCTTCTGAATAGCCTCTGGTAAATAATATAAAGAAGACATGGATTTGGTAACTTTATGAATAATCTCCCGAATCTGGTTTTCATTGAAATCAGTGAATTCTGACAAGTCAGTGAATACTTTTTTCCTAAGAGTCGATTGAATGACCGCTGACAACCCCCCTACGCCAAACAATGAACCAATGCTTCTAATCAAATAAAGCGTTGATGTAGATGTAGCATGTGAATCTTGAGGAAATGCAAAAATGAATGAAAATAGAGAACTTGGAAATCCCATACCTTGCCCAACGTTGGCTGGAATCAAAAATAGACCCAGTAGTATTGGTGATATGCCAGGATATATAAACAAACTAAGAACATATCCTAAAGCCATGAGAAGCACTCCCAAAAAAATTAGGCGTCCTACACGAACACGTTGGTGCATCAGAATACCACAAATCAATCCTCCCATAGGTGTAGACAAGGACGGTAAAGCAAGACGAAGTCCGGCTTTGGGGAAGGGCTATCCCCCAATACCAGTTCAAAAAGTAATGGTAGTGTAAATAAATAGGCATACCCTGCTGATCCACTGAGAAATCCAATCGTTGAAACAAGGGTGTCGAAACTGGAATTTTTCCAACCATTAACAATTTATAAGGGAAAAACAAAAATCAATCCATCAAATAAGAAAGCTTACGAGCTAAAAACGTACTAAAAAGAAGAAGCAGCATGATTTAGGAAACCTGAATTAAAAGACAACCGATTTAAAGAAATTAGAGCATAAAAAATAATAAATACAATTCCTATATGACAAAATTAGCTAACAATGCTGGGTATTAAGTTGAATCGATCATATATGTAAAAAGTAAAGGGAAAAAACATTAAAAGACATAAAAGAAGTGTTAAGGAGTACTAGCCTCAGTAACAACACTAAAGCAGTTACCGCTCCCATTTCCTTCACCGAAATAAATTTGATACACTCCATTTGTATCGACGACAGGGCATGCGACAGGGAAAGTGTTGTTCAATCGAAGGTCATATCCAACGGACGAAACCTGTTTAGCTTCAAAACCTGACACGGGAGAACCAGAGGATTTGAAAATAAGAGCACCGTTCTTGTCTAAAGAAGCAAACTCATCGTTATAGAACAATTCAGAATTTTTAAGAGTAAAGCTGCCAGAACCAACACCGCTTTCCGCGTAAACATAGCCAAATTGACCTATAGTAAGTGGACGTAGTTGAACATTTTGGTTATTAGGGTGAAGAGCCGAAATACTAAATGTTTGATTAAGAGATAATGCCGACTGGGAATATGGGGAAGCAAAAGTAAAAGTGGTACCAAGAAGAGTAAGGAAGATAGCAGACAACGAAAACTTCATTTTTCCAAAATGCTAAAGATAAGATATTCGAAAAGTAATATAAGAATAAAAATAAAAATAACAAGTAGCTATGATAAAAGGTAAGGAAAGAGCCAAGCTATAGATTCCTTTTCAATTATATCTGACAAGTTGGTAGAAAAAACCTAGGCTTTAAATACCAACTCAAGCAAAAACACCTCGTCATAAAAGATAGGAGGGAACCATTGCCGTGATCATCCCCTGATTGACGATGGAAAAAATTCAAGGGGATCTAAACAATAAACCCAAACCGATTTACAAGTCATACTCAAATGAACTTGATGAGATGTAATCGTCGGAGTTAAAATGAGCTTTTATGGGGGTGAGATTTTATCATGCAACAGAGTTAAAACGTAAATCGGGTTTCCCTGGTTTTTTAACCGTCTGTAACAATGACGTTACGTACCCCCGCATCATTTGAATAAACCGATTCAACGCTCGTGTAGTAGAAACCTGGTTGATACAAGAGATTTATGCGGTTCCTTTCTCATCCGGCCGTTCACCTATTCCTTTACAAATCCAGTAAGTTTAGCTATCCCTATCATATTTTATTTCTAAATCATATTCCATTCTTCTTCTTCTAAATTCATTCAACCACCATCGTTTACTTCTTCCGCTTTCCTTTCAATGTTTTCCCTTTCGCGACTCACAACCCATAATTATAACTGATTTTTTGAAACCATAAATTCGTTTAACTTTTGTTTTGTAATATTTATTTCACCTCATTTCATTTCACTTTATCGTTAGCGATTGTTTTCCATTTCTGTGTTGGTTTTGTTTTACTTGTAATTATTTTCTAGTTACTTTGCTACGTATCGATATTTTTGTTCACATGCTATACACACAGCTGTGTTTACTCATGTTTACTCATGTTTGGGTAGTTTTTGTTTATTGACTTTTTAACGAAAAAACTTTGCTACGTTAAAGCTTTAGTAACATACTGCATGGTATTACTAATCAAATCAAGGTACTTTTGTTTAAAAATGTTTTTATAATTATAGCAGCCTTTATCACACCAAAGAATCTACGTTGAAATCACTGTTCTACATAAAGATCGATAGTCTAAAGAAAAAAGTCCTCCAGGTGAGAATTTAAACCTGATTATTTCGACAATTACCTGACCAAATCGAACGAAAAAACTCATTCTACCATTTATTTTTTTTTTTCCATACAATTACATAGTTTGATAAAAATAATCTTTAGCAAAATCAGAGCTAAGAAATACCCGTATAAAACAATTTATGAACATACTTAATAATTAAAAAAACAGTTTATTAGCAACCGAGAGAATATTAGTACTTGAATTTTTTATGTAACTTATTTTGTTTGAGTTTGTTTTATAAGTTTTATCGTTTACTCTAAGCTTAATATTGCTTTCTTTCTTTATCTATCTATCTAATATAAGAATACTAAAGGAAAAAAAAAAAAAGCAAAATATCAAACACGGTCGCTTCGGAAAAGTAACCACTTTTAACATGGGCTAAACTTAGACGAATGGTATTTAATCAATCCAAACTGCCAAACGACAGAAAACAAACTATTAGACTTAGACGAACGTTATATTATGCAAAAGCAACCAATTTTAATCTCGTTAACCGGTAATTTTTTAAATTCTGCCAACTCTATTCCAAAAGATGGAAATACCTTTTTTGTTTATGATACCAGTGTGTTCTTAATCCTGTTATATAAATTTTTAGTGAAGTTGAGTGTTTGTTTGGAAACAGCTGTTCTTGTTTATGCCCGGTCTATTTGTTGTTTTTTTCTTTCATGTAAATAAACAAACTCTGATTGATCAACCAATTGTTTATAATCGGCCTTTAAATTAAAATTTCCGACCTGTTCGTTTATTTGTTTTTAAGGAGAATGTATTGGTCATTATAATAAAATCACGTAAAAATATATTCAATAAAAACAAAATAATTATTATCCAATTACGATCACACATGTTTGGCTAGTTTGTTTGTTTACGAGTTCGTGAACCAAATTTTGTCTATAAATTGACGAGGAAGCTTCAAAAATCCAATAAAAAAAGAATCTTGTTGAGATTTTCGTTTCCTTCGTATTGTTATTCTGTGAATATCAATAGCTTGACACCTTGAATCAAGTTTTCCCTCCTTCCTATTACAAAAGAAAGAAACCAAATTACTTATCCTAAAAGCATTTGAGCATATTTCTTATTCATTCATTCCTTGTAGCTCGTAACTCGTTGATTACAAGTGACCCCTTAAAGTTTATCGTGGACCCTTTTCTTCTGGCTTAATTTGATTCATAAAACTATTCTTTGTTTAGTTCAAAATGATGCTATCAAAACTCGCATTTTTTGCCTCTGTCGCCTATTCTATGGCTATACAGATCACCAGTCCTGAGAAAAATGATATATGGGAAACTTTCAAGGATCAAACGATTTCCTGGAATTTCGTCGAGACAGATCCGAAAATTGCTGGAATATATTTAAGCAATTATGTTAGTATTAATCAAAATAGGTTTATTGTAAATGTCTCTGTATCGGACGGCAGTTATATTGCTGATACTAACAGTTGGCCTACTGGTGAAGGTTATGTCATCAAAATAACTAATCCCGAGAATGTTGATGAGGTATACGCTCAATCCGAGGGATTTACCCTTACACAGCCAAACGCTTAAAGCAGCAATCCTTGTTCACCTTCTGTTACATGATTTGGACGCAGCTTCCTTTTTTTCCCTTAACTAAAGCTACGACTATAGACAGTCCCTGACTTTTAGTGAGCCCAGCCTACTGTTAAAACGAGTAGATCTTTATGAGTGGCTTTGCAATAATAATATTTATTTGTTTTCCAGAAAATAGTTTAGTAAAGTTCAAGACCGTTAAACCGTAAAGTTTGCTTTACAAAATGTAAAAAAACAAAAAAAAACGAGAACCTACCATTCTTCCTCAGAGGATTGGAATACAATCTTTCACTCATTACGTTATTATAAAAATTACAGAAAATGATTGAAAAATTAGATATGATAGATATAAAATGCTTCAATTGATGCAAATAATGATTGGATGCAAATGTAAAAATTAGCTAATGGTCGAAGTTATCGAGTTGAATCGATAACATAGACGTTGTGCAAAAGGGTATGAAACGAAATTCGAAAAGTTCAAAAAGAACGGCATTTAAGGAAAGGCAGCCAAAGGATAAATACCAACGCAGTCAGCATTGCCATTACCCTTTCCGTAGTAGATTTGATAAACATCGTTGGTATTGGGAACAGGGCATGCGACAGGGTAATCATTGTTCAAGCTGAGTTCATAAAATTGGGAATTTTCCTTCTTAGCTTCGAAACCTGACACAGGAGATCCAGAGGATTCGAAAACAAGGGCGCCATCCTTGTCAATAGAAGCAGCCTTGTTTTCATGGAACAGCTCTCCATTTTTGAGATTAAAATAGGGATTACCGTCAGAATTGTCATATGTACTCAAGTAGACATGACCAGATTGACCAACTTCGAATGTGCGTAGGTGAACATGAATGTTACCAGAGTGACTACTCACGATACCAAATTGTTTGTCAAGAGACGATGTTGAAGCTGGAGCAGCCAACGTAGAGGTGGCTCCAAGAAGAGTAAGGAAGACAGCAGACAAGGAAAACTTCATTTTAATAGTAGTTTGAAATGAAAAAAAAAAGATATGTTGTTCAAAACTGAATTAAATATGATACAAAAAGATGGATTCTTTTTCGATGATATCTGACAAGTTGGAAGGAAATCTCGAGCTTTATATATCAATTGTAACAAGAAACAGTTCGTCATAAAAGATAAGAGGAAATTGTACAAATCATACCACCACAGAACTACGAACAACTTAACGGACGTAAACAACGAACCAGAACTGACTTGCCAACTTACATTGAATTAACCCGAGTCTTAAAGTCCGACATTAAAGTCGGAGCTAGGAGAAACAAGCGACGATGGTAGTAACAACTTTATCATGTGCTGAGTCAAAAGTTTTTCGGTTGCTATACCCGCAGCCTTTTACAAAACGAGCCAACGAGCGTGTGGCACGATGCTAAATACATGCGATTGATAATTCATGTTGTCACGTATGTCATGTCGCTGTCGGCCACGTGTTCATCTTTATTATGTTAGCTGGTGGAGATAATTTATCATGTTAACAAGTAAACAAAGGATGAAAACATGATGCAGAATGAAATGGAGACCAAAATGATAGAACAAAGAAAATGATTACGTTGACTGCCATAGAAAAAGTTGTGTAAACCACATACTTACAATCGAAATCTACAGATTGGAAGAATCGACGGGTCAGACCGTTATTACTATTCATTTACGTAGCTCCAGGTAATCCAATTGAGGTTGTTTATTACATTAGAAACCAATATTATACGGCGCTTGATTTCTGTTGTAGTTTTCTTGTTCTTTAACAAATAAAAACCAAAACTTGCATCAGCCGGGAGTCGAACCCGGAGCGAATGCTTGGAAGGCATCCATGTTACCGCTACACCACTGATGCAACATATTATGGTATGTGGTTTCTGTCTTATGTATAATAATCGTCACGAGTTTTTAAAATGGAACAACCGGTGAACGAATGAGCCCAAGTATATACTATGCTTACGCAACAAATGCAAATCGTCGGAATGCTTTTTTGTTGGTGAAAAAATCCAAGAGTCCCACTCTGGCATAAAACAACTCAAACAAATTTCCTCTAAATCAACTCATGCAACACAGAATAGATAAGTCAAAACGTTGGTCTGTTCTGGAAATTGAATTCAAGACCTCCATCACCCTAAGATAGTATCATACCATTAGATCAAACGGCCAAGCTGTGTACTCACTTGTTTTCACTCTATCCTATTTAATTTACTTTTTTTTAAATATTGCATCAAAGTAATACACAGAAGTAACCGTTTGAGTTTGATACTATATCCAGTCCTTTGACCAAAGAGCTCTTTAACACGTACAACTTTTTTTTTAAATACGCCACAAAGTACAGCATTAGCCCGGAACAAATTTTCCTTCGTTCAGTGAGCAGGCATCGTTTACTGCTGCGAACGGATTGACTAGAGAAGCCCTTGTTACTCTATGAGTAACGAGAGTGAAATGTGATGGGAACAATTTTTGGATGTCCGAGCAGAAACCTTCAGTTATTCCCGCTTTTCTCATAAGTCGCTTTCAAACCTCTCCATAACAATGAATATAGATGATATGCATGGGTATTAGTTGGCGAATATAGACGCGTTTTTTGGTGCTTTTGAAAAAATAACAACACTTCAAACATAATTTTAGTTGATTGAGAGGGAAGGAAAGACAAAGACAGCAAAACTTAATGATTATAGTAATTGTCGACTTCTATGAATGTTGTAAGGATTTAATATATTTATTACAGAAAATGCTCAACTTGCATAATTTTTTGCTCCACTACCCATTTTCATTTTACTCAAACAACAAAAACGATCTTTATTTCTTACCTGTAATCAACCTTTTGTAATATGGACTCACAGAGTAATAATGAACTTTTATGTATTTTTTTCTTTTTTCAGTATATCTTAGGAACAGCCTTACCAAAATGTCGCTAGCTCCATTGTTTGTTGTAGGCTTCTTCAAATTGGGAAAAAGGAAACATCTTGTGAACGATAGCATAAAAGTCATTAACTTCAATAAAAACATAAATTTCTACAGAAATGCTTACAAATCCAGTAAGGATACCTGCCAAAACTACGACATCCAAGGATTGTGAATTTGTCTTTTCAACAGCAACTTGTCGGAAAGTACCGCTACAAGTACCCACCAAAAACATTTCGAACGGTATGTTATTATGAGTTTAGTTAGTTAATAAAAGAGCTAGGGCTCACAATGCCACCTAGATAAAAACTCTCTAACATCCTCATCTACCTTTTTTCGACAATTCCAACATCTTCTAAAGAAACCGTAAGGAACTTTTAGATGTTGTAGAGTAACGGCTTATAGTATTATTTATTCTTTGCTATTAAGGGAAGCAGTCATGAATTGTACTTGAAATTCACGAGGCTTAAATTTTAGGTGTCAGACTTGGTTGAGCTCTTCGTTCTTGACTGGTAAAAACTGCTTTTCGTATCACAGAAAAGGTATTACAATGGCATCTTGGCTACTCTTCTGAAAGCAGAGCCAGTTTGGGATTTCTACTATGTACTCATGAAACTTGCCAATTGCTTACATAATTATTTGACAAAATTGACTTCTATGTAACCCAAAGTAATCGAAAACTTGTTTTGTTATCCTTTAACTAGAATCGTCTGATAGCTTATTACAGGCTAATGTTCAGCAAAAATGAAAATATGAATAATTATATAGTGAATATAAAGTTTCAGAATTTATGAATTAGAAAAGAAAATGAACAGAAAGGAACAACTCTAATTATCATTCTATCTATTAGTTGTCTCTTTATCAAAGAAAACTCAACATTATAAGTCCGAAAGCTAAGCAAACGTGCAACGATCTATTTGTCAGGCGAATAGAAGTAGATGGAGAGGTTGAAATACAGTCTTTGGATTCAGAAAAACTGGCAAACTCTGTCGATGACTCCAAATCAATCTGGCTTACTGCCTGTCGATCAGAAACCGGCTGGAGCTTTGGGGGAATAAAAGCCAGACTTGTGTTTCTTGCAGTCTTTTCTCGTTGTGTATTAAAGTAGTCCATAAATTTTTCTTTATTTTCGAAATATTTCTCTTTGATGGAATACCCAGAACCACATCTCTGTTTATCTCGGGTCAATCCTGCACTTAAGTAGTCAAACATACAGGTTTGATTACCATCACAAGGATACAAATAACTTCTATAGATTGCATACGGATCGTGTTTAGGTTTTTCTGGGCCTTCTTCTACATATGCATATGTCGTCTCTGGCGTAATTATATAGTAACTTTCTGTATACGGAACGTATGATCCATTGTTCGCATCGAGTATGTGAGAAGAATCGTTCATTTGAACATCAACTTTGTTTATGGTGTTTGACATGCTGAAACATTTTGGAGAATCTCCCGCGTAGCATATGGGCTTCTCGGCTGTGTATATACACGTTACGCTGGTATTATCTGCGGGGACTGTCAAAATCGAGCTGACATTTTCCATATACGAATAGGTTCCTTGTCCGTCAACAGGAGGAGGATTCTTTATGAATGAAACAGTACCACTGCAGTTGAAATCATATGGAAAAGCTTGGATATAAAATGGGTAGTTAGCAATTCTCTCACTTGCGTTTTTATTAAATGCTAAAGGCAAAGGATTGTAAGCTGTCGCATTCATTGCAAGTGATTTGCATATTGCAAAAGCTAATATGCAAATACAGAATAGCATTTTTTTAAAAAATTTAGTAAGTGCAAAAGATCGTCGCACAAAAAAGATCAAATGATAAATTCTCCTTTTTTGTTTGTAATGTTTTCGTTTCGCTACACTTTAGTACCTTCTGAAATAAAAATTTCGAGAAAACCGAATTAGTAGTCACAGTGGTTGGCTAAAAATCTCGCTTCCTTATTTGGGGAACGCTCGTTGTAATTTGCTGTATTTCAACTATTTTTAATGATTTTGTTTTATTTTTTATTTTTGCCGTTTCATTTGCGTCCTTCTGGTAACCCGGATTTTTGACTTATTCATATATTTCTTTAATACGCATGCACATTGTATTCCGTAAAGGCTTATCAAGTCAGTTTTAATATTTTACAGTTTGAGCTAGAACTCGATTGAGAATTTTGTTTGTTGAATATTCATGGGGTTTAGTTGAGTTTTGTCAGCTGTATTCCCTCCGTGACGTTATTTGTTAAAAATAAAAGGATAGCTTACAATAATCATCGAGATTCAGTATAACTCAAAGAAATAATGGGACTTGCTGTGTATACGACCATTCTTATTTCTATTTGTGCACTCGTACACTGAATAGGGTATATATATATATATATAGTATTATGTAAACTTGTTTAAAAAAACAAAAATAAAGTGTATATAGTAGTGTCTTTCAATGAGTCCGACAAAGCACCAAGGTTGAGCAGAGCCGAATTAGATTTGAAACTGAGCATACATTATTTCACATGGATAGAAGAGTGTAAATTTGACAAGTTACTGTAAGAAGAGCAGTAAATGCCTTTGACCATACCTAGGCGAAAACACCAGTTCCCGTCCGATCACTGCAGTTGAGTGAAAACGTCTGATGGCCTCGTTTGTACTATGGTTGGAGACAACATGGGAATCCGGGGTGCTGTAGGATTTTTTTTCCTCTCTTCACTTTTTTAACGCTTCTCTGACCGTTTTTATGGAAGTCGCAGCAACTACTTTCTTACAGAAACCTGCTCCAATCCATTGTTTATGTTTTTCATTTAACGAAAAGAAACGCAAGCAGCAAAAGTTGTATAAGGATGTTTTTGATTGTCGATACAGTGTCAAATCTCATAGATAGTGGGGTACAGCAAATACGTAATAACTATCATTTTGCAAAGCCTCGTCACGTCTCGCAAAACGGAAGAAATGACTGTTCCCATCTCATCGTCGC